TCCCAGGAGAGGGCGTTGCCCTAATGGAGAGATCGATAGGTAGAGTGCCGAGGGCGCCTCTGACCAAGCCCAGTTTTCTCCACGTGTCTTGCCCTTATTGGCTGTTTATTTTGGGTGTAAACATGGTTGAATGGCTTTTTTTGTTATTATTCTTTTACAATACGAATATTTTATTTCTTCACAATTTTCTTATACACACCATGAAAGTCTTCAAAGGCTTATGCCTAGCCTTACGGGACATGACTGTTCTTAAGACTTTCGCAATATAAAAGACTGGAAAAGACTTCATAGGAAACTCATCTAACTTGCAAGAATATATCTCTAGGCTCATCCCTCACTGCTGTGAATGCTAACTCTTTCTTACCCTCTCTATCTGGGGGGTTTCGTTTCCACTTATACTTAAATCATTTGATATTTTGAAGAACCAATAGCGACAAAGTTCATTGCACATGAAAGAGGCTAACAAGGGCAGAGACAGAAAGCTTTTAAAACAATGAAAAATATTTGTGGAATGATCGAAAAAGACAAATCTAGTTAATCAAATTCTTAGTACGCCGAACAAAGATTCAATTTGCACATACAAACAGCAAGAGAAATCATATCATAGAACATTTGAATTTTTTGTGTATATCAAGGGAGGACTGCATTTGTTTGTCATTTCAGCAAACTTATGTGGGCAGCAAACCAGAGCATAATACATTCAGTTAAAACATATTGCATGGATTATCGATGATCTTAATGCATTATATAAAGATATAGCAAATGATGCTCATCAGCAGTTTCACCATTAACTCCTTAATTATGTACCATGGCTTTTGAACTACCATATCCTTTTTTCTTTCTACTCCTTGTACAGATACTGCCATTTTCAATCATTGCTCGAACTTACAACAACATATCTTCGGGCTCATCCCTCTCTGCAAAGGACAACAATAACTCTGTCTGGTGCTCACCATCTGGGGAATTCTCTTTCGGTTTCCAAAAGATTGGTAGTGATGGTGGCTTCATACTAGCCATCTGGTTTAACAAAATACCTGAAAAGACTATTATCTGGTCAGCCAATGGCAACAATCCAGTGCAACAAGGATCCACAGTTGAAAGCACTGCACATGGCCAGTTGATGCTCAATGATATTGCAAAAGGCAAACAAAAAAGGATTGCTGACTTTGGTGGTATTGGAGTTGCCTATGCAGCCATGCTTGATACAAGAAATTTCGTTCTGGCCAATGGAAATTCAAACAATTTGAGGGAGGGTTTTGATCAACCAAACTGATACCTAGCAACAGAGACTCTAAAACTAAACAACACACTCCAAGGTAGCTACATGGTGTCAAACTACTCACGAGGGAGGTTCCAGTTTGCACTACAATCTGATGGAGCACTCTCGCTTTATACAACAAATTTCCCATTGGATACTCCTAATTATGTTTATTGGTCAACACACACTGTGGGTAGTGGTTTTCAGGTCATCTTCAAACAGTCTGGCTCTATTTACCATACAGCCACAAACGGATGCATACTTTATATTCATGTGGTAC